CACAGCCCTCAGTGCGTGTCCACTAAACCAACGTGAAAGCCAACGAGGAATTTGGCTCCATGTCAGGGAAACCAGCTTAACGCTCCTCTAATCACCTCGCTGCTTTGTCCGAACGGAAGCTCTATTCACTTGCAGGCTCCTCATTTGGGGCTGATTTGGCTGTTGGTGACTAAATGCTCCAGCACGGCCTCAGTGCTAAACAGCCACGTCCTGGGCAAAACCTAGGACTCTACCGTTGGGTTTGGTGGCAGCAAGGCTCTGCGCGCCTCTGCTTGTGGATAAGCTGACAGCAGCCAGCCCTCCAACAGGGAAAGAGCCCCAGCAGGCACTGCAATGCTAGGTTTAATGATCACCGCTGTTAGTGGCATTCCAAGCTGGCAGCATTCCTCAGTAGTGCTCAGGCAGGTGTGAAAGCCATTGGTCCTCTGAGGAAGCTGGGTTTGCTCTGACCCTCCCAGTGGGGTGCCCCATCCATCAGCAGAAGGAGGGAAACACATTAGCACCAATAGGGGCCTTTTGAAAAGTCATTTATTGCCTATCACATCTAATGATTACAGCAGAGGCCACTTCCACTGCAGATGTGGATTACACCACATCCATCCATCCATCCATCCACCCATCCATCCACCCATCACATCCGCCTGCCCTGGGTAAAGCCACGCTCATGTTTCCCAGCTTGGGAACCACTTGATGGGCAGATTGTGCCCAGACTGCTCATCTGTAGGGAGCATTCTGCAAACCCCATTAACCCGGTAACATTTGCATTGTGGTGCTGTGAAGCCAGGTCCTGCCATATCTCCTTAGGCGTGGTGAGGGGAGCAGAAAGGAGCAGAAGGCCACACTCTGGCATTGGTGTCCTTCTTGCTCTGCAGCTGAGCCAGCCACAGAAGAGCTCAGGACCCCATCTCCCAGCCGCTGTAACAGACACCGGTGTTCCCCAGTGCCACTGCAGCTCTGGCAGCACGGAGGAGCTCTATTCCCAGCCATCCAAAGATAAACTCTTCGCTGAAGCTGTGCAACAGCGTTCAAACCAGGACGGGTCCCTTTCGGGGAGCGTTGGCCAGCTGATAACCAACGGGCAGCGCATCCTAAAGAGCATCCCCGCTCCTGGCCAGGACCAGCCGAGCAGAGCAGCGCTCTGTGTTCGGGGCCATGGGAAGCTCCAGGAGGCATTCCTGCTCCACAGCCCCGTCTGCCAGAGGCTGTCCTAAGGAACTTCGCTGTTCATGGAGACGCGGTCTGCCTGGGGACAACGGGAAGCGATGCCTTCGGGCAGGAGAGCCCCCGGCATCACCGCGTGCCGGAGCAGCCACCGGAGCTGGCAGCGGGGATCCTGGCTCCCAGCAAACACAGCCTCCAGGAGCGGGGGTTCAGGAGAGGACACGGCCACTGCCAGCGCCGGGATTTGCAGAGCCCCATTAGGGAAAACTCAAGGGCTCGGCTGGGCTGCAGATAAAGGTGCACGGAGAAGAGGCGGCCGCCGATGAGGAGGTGAAACCTGGGCAGAGGGACCAGGCTGGGGCCTCCCGCGGCTCCGCAGGGGCAGGAGGAGCTGGCGGATGCATGCAGTGAAGGTCAGGAAGGAAGAGTGCCACAATGCACTGGTCAGAGCACTGGGTGTACTGAAATGTGCTCCCGCTTCGATGCAGGGCTGAGAACAGGTATTAAGAGTAGTACAGAACATTGGCAATCCCTTCTCAGGGTTGCTGGTGACCACTCTCCAATGCAGGTCATACTTACTGTGTATTTTGGAAGGAAAGTTGGGTTGAAACCCAGTTATTTTCTATTTGCTTTACTTTCTAACAGATTCCCTTTGCACCAGCATCCACAATTGAAAGGTTCAGCAAATATGCCTTGAGATCAACAGGTCTGACACCCCTTACACACCTGCACTGGCATCAGTGTTAGACAACAGCCACCAGTGATGCTCACAGTGGGAGATGAGGGTGGCAGCTCCCTGAGCTCCCTGCCTTGAAGAGCAAACACCATGGTTGTTTTTGGGTGGCTTTGGGGAACAGAGTCCCATGTCCCAGGACATTGTTTGGACAAGGGCCTGTAGGTACAGGACAAGGGGAATGGCTTTAACCTGCCAGAGAGGAGACTGAGGTGAGTTGTTAGGCAGAAGCTCTTCCCTGTGAGGGTGCCTGGGGCACTGAGAGCAGATTCAGCTCTGCCATAGCTACTGCAAGGTGTTTGCAGTCAGAGGTGATGCACGTTCGTGGTAATGAAATGCTGGAGAAGACGCACATCCTCACATCAAACTATTTGCTGGATCCTTATTAGCCAGGATCCCTGCACAGCCCCAGCGGCACTTGGGAGCCAGCACCTCCATCCTCCTGCCGGCTGGGAGGTGCTGGTCCAGCCTGGGCTCAGCCCGTGGATGCCATCTGCCGTTCAGAGCACCGGGAGGAGAACAGGAGCCCATCCTGCACTGCTCGGCCCAGCCCAGCTGGAAAACAATCCCCAGGACACACACACACAGGCAGGGTACGACTGAATCTGCTCCGCAGCCTTGGCTCAGGGTCCCCCATCACTCGGAGGGCAGCACAGAGCCGCTGGTTCTGAGGAGCTTGCGTGGCTGTTCCTGAGTCCCACAGCATCTCCTTCCAGTCTCTGATGAGCCTAGAAAGGACCTGCAATAACCTGGTGCTGCTCAGGAGCTGGGCACCCATCATCCCCATGGGAGATGCCCTCGGTCCAGAGGAGTCTGTGGATGAACCAGCAGAGAAGGCCAGCAACAAGAAGGACGCCCAGGAGAGGCTGGGGGTCAGGAAGAGCATTGACCAAGCCAGTGTTGGTGTGCAGTGCAAGTGCTGTAGATGGGACACACAGTGTCTGGAGCCTCTGCCTTTCCCAGCAGGATCTGGGGAGAAGGCAGCAGACAGAGCAGGACATGGCTGCAGAGCACACAGCCCAGGAAGCTCCCAACCCTGGAACTGGGATAGATGTGGACACAGACTCCTAGGGGAGTTTTACAGCAAGGGAAAACTTGGCTGTGAAGAGGAAAAAGCAGCCCCAGGCAGGAGCACCCAGCAGCACAGCATCTGCTGGTTGGGCCGAAGCAGGCATCCTGCTTGCTGATGGGAGCTTGAGTTTCACTACAAAGGCAGCTGACCTGGATCTGCCCCTCACTGCAGAGCTGCTCTTTCCCTCTCTAAATGCTGGGCACATCCCCAACTTTGATTACCAACCATCTCCCCCCAGCCTGGTCCCCAGCCCCTGACATCCCTTCATTAAGTCCTGGAGCGGGTTTATTCCCATGACACTGCTTTGTCTGTCACTCTCCAGCCTTTCTGCAGGGAGAAAGCAAAGGATCAGCTTCCAGCTGTGCTGCAGCCAGACAAAGGGAGCGGATTCCTCCTCCCCTTGCTCCAGCTTAACAAAGCCAGCACAGCAGTACTGAACCCTAAGCCCTGGCCAGCAGCCTCGCTGCAATAACAAGGCTTAGCGCTGATGAGAAGAGAGCAGAGCAGCATCAGGCTGTGCTGTGTGTGGGAAAGGTTCCTTAAGGACAAAGGAAAACCATTAATAGCCAGAGAGCCTCATTGTGCAGAGGCAGCCGGAACGGAGATTGGCTGCGCTGGGAGACATGGGCTTGCTCTGGGAGAGGAGAAGGCTCCCTCTTCCCCTCCATCCTCCTCGTTCAAAGGGGGGTTCCATGAGGGCAGGGAGGCAGCACCCCAGGGCTGCACGCGAGCAGAGGGATGCTCTCAGCACCTCCCGTCCCCCAGGGATGCTCTCAGACCCAAACGCCGGCTCCCGGCGCCCCGTTCCCTGCAGCCTCCGAGCCCTCCGCTGGGCTCCGTGCTCCTCACCGGGGCCCCGAGCACAATCCCCCAACCGGTGCCGTTGCCGCGGCCGCCGCACGGTGTCGTCGGTGCTCCGCAGCGGCGGGAGCGGGGCCCTGCACCGGGACCCTGCTCCTGCGGCCAGGAACCGCTTTAAAGGGAGGATCAGAGTCAGGGGATGCGTTGGGTTGAAGGGACCTTAAAGCTCCTCCAGCTCCAACCCCTGCCACGGGCAGGGACCCCTTCCACTGGAGCAGCTTGCTCCAAGCCCCTGTGTCCTTGAGCACTGCCAGGGATGGGGCAGCCACAGCTTCTCTGGGCACCCTGTGCCTCAGCACCCTCACAGGGAAGAGCCTCAGCGATGGGGCAGCACGCAGAGCATGGGGGACATCACTGGCTCCAGCCACCTGCACTGCCCCCTCTCCCCCTTTTCAGCCTGGGTCCCGCATTTCCAAGCAATCATAACCCCGATGGAGCCCATAGCACAGACAGGGCTTTTCCAAGGGCTTTTCTGAATACAGCATTTAATGGTGCAAGAGCTACAAGCTAGAACTGGTGCCCAACAGTTCAGACACCTCTCCTGCAAAGTGCCTGGGAAGCAGGAAACCAAAGAGGAGGTGACAGCCAGGGAATTCTGGCTTTGCTGAGCAAACCATCACCTCCTTTCTCCCAGGGCTGACAACAGTCCCACATCACTACAGCAGCTAAAAACCAACTTGGAACGTTGTAGGTTGAGGCCATCTTTGCATGAAAGCCAGCAAAGGCAGTACTTGTGCTAGTCCTGTGCCAAAAGGAAGGTCTCTCTGACCAAAACAGTCACTTGGGCATCCATCCCTCCCTCCCAGGAGCATTGGCAGCTCCAGCTTCTGCCAAACCAACAGTCAAATGCTACAGGTTTGCAGGAAAAGCCTTGCTATGAAGGCAAAAGAATGATCCCTGGAATCTGGCTGCAAGGTAGGGGTTTCCCTTGCTGCCAGCCAAGAGGATCTGTGCCGGGAAGCACACATCAAACCCAGGATGCTCAAAGAGGACATCCCACCAGTTCTCCCTGAACCGCCACTGACCTGTCCGGGTGCTCCCAATGCAGTTGTGAGCAGTTCCTTCACCTGGGATTGCCCACAGAGCTCCAAAGACAACTGGAGGGGCCAAGGTGCTCCTCCCCTCCATGGGGCCGGAATGGCAGCACCCGAGAAGGGCAGGACCAGGAGCATCACCTCCACTGCGGGAGGCAGCGAGGGGCAGGGTCCTGCTGCGGGCAGGACGTGCTCAGGGGTCGGAGATGCACAGAGCCTCCACGGCACTGCTCAGGCCCTGGCTCACCCCCCCAACGGCCAGCAGGCAGTTGTGGAGCACGATGCTGGAGCAGGCGCAGCGCGGGGTGGGCATCGGGGGGAGGCTCTCCCACTTGTTCTTCTCGGGGTGGAAGGCTTCCGCGGACTCCAGGACGGTCGGTTGGTTTCCTGGAAGCACACAGTGAGGGATGGGGTCAGTGGGAAGCATCCTCTGTCTGCGCTGGGACAGGGTCTGTGCTCTGGACACCATCCCCTATGGGGTCTGTTCTCCCCGCTCCCTCAGGCCAGCGTCTCTCCCCTCTGTAATGATCACACAACCCACGTGCACTATTAAAGCATCACCACCGTGCCCACAGCCTCACCGAGTCCCCCAGCCACGACAACCCTGCCCTTCAGGTAGCCAGCCACGAAGTCTGCTCGCCTCTTCTTCAGGTAGGAGGAGCGCTCCATCTTCATCCAGCCACCTGGAAGGGATGGGACAGGGCATTACAGGAGCATCCACGCCTGGGACACCATCGGCCTCTCTGACCCACGTGCTTGTGGAAGTGCCGTTTTGCTGCTGCACCCTGGGACAAGGAAACCCGGGGACACAGGGCTCAGGTTCCTCACTGCCACATTAGGGTACCTGGGACATTGGGGCTCTCCTCTGCTGCCCTGATGCTGGGCTCAAAGCACCAGCTCCAAGCAAGCGGGAAGTGACAGAACCCAGCGGATGAGCGCTCTGGGGTGTGCAGAGACAGCAAAGCCCCATCGTGTGCCACCCGCCCCGCTCCTTTGGGCAGGATGGAGATGGGACAGCCCCCACCTTGCTCCATGTCAAACATGTCCACGGTCCTCATGAACTTGGGCTGCCGGTAGAGCCGGCCCTGGCGCAGGCCCCCGAGGCTGAAGAGCTTGTCTTCAGTGGGCACGAAGCTGGAGAAGGCCCTTTTGTTGGGGATGCTGGGAAACTTGGTCCACGACCGGGTCTCAGTGTCAAAGACCTCGAAGGCATTGATGGCGTACTTGGACTGCCTTCCACCTGCGGGACAGAGGGAGGGAAGGGTCAGCTTGCCTCATAGCACCAAGGCAACAGCACCAAGAACCAGAGGAGCCTCCCAGGGCAGGCAGAGAGCAAGAGAGCTGCTGAAATGGGACCCATTCGCAGCTCTGATGCCTTTGAAGGCAGAGCCTGGGCTTGCCCCCGGCCCCACAGGCTGTCTGCCAGCAGCAAGCAAAGTGCAAAATACATCAGAGTCCTTTCTGGTAACCCCTAAGGCAAGGCAGGGCCGTGGAGGCTTGGAGCAATCAGGGCTTGTGCATCTTGACCCTGAGCCATGAGCAAACAGCAGCAGTCCCCTGCATTGGCTTCCCTTTTCTAATGCACAGGGTGCCCAAAGACAGGGTCAATGCCCCATCCCTGCAGTGTTCAAGGCCAGGTTGGGCAGAGCCTTGGGTACAGGGTCTGCTGTGAGGTGTCCCTGCCCATGGCAGGGGTTGGAACTGGATGATTTAAGCTCCTTTCCAACCCATTCTATGGTCATCCCCTGCGAAAGGCTTGGTCTGACATTGCCCACCTAGAGCAGCCTCCAAAGCAGCTACAAAGGCAGAGCATCTGTGAAGCCGGGTGGTGCTTGGCTGATATATAACGTATAGAAGCATTTTAACACCTTGGTTGAGCCCAGGGGCTTCTGGTGCAGTTGCAGGACTGAGAATGGGCAGAGACCAACTGCACCTTTGGCTGCCAGCACCCATGGATGGGTGGGAGGGGAGAGGTCCCTCACCCAGCACCATGAGTTCTCAGGGTGTTCAAGGGTGCAGGTGCTCTCGTGGGTGCTTGCTGTGGAGCTGTGGACCCAAACCCAGCACCAGCTCCTCCTCTGCAAAGCTCGGGGTGTCCGAGTGCACGAGGGAGCAGGCCGAGATGGAGGAGAACCTTCCCAAAAGCCTCTTCCCAGTGCCCAGAGCAAAGGAGCCGCTCACTGAGGAGGAGGAGGGGAGGCAGGACTGCTCCTTACCCAGCACGTAGATCTTGGTGCCTCGCAGGAAGGACGTGGCAGCGTACCTGGGTGTGGGCATGGCTGCCAGTGACACCCAGATGTCCTTCAGCATGTCATAGTGCTGCAGGTAGTTGTGTGGCCGCAGGTCGGATCCCATCCCACCAGCTGCATAGACTCGGTAGTCTGGACAGGGCCAAGAAGTAAAGAGAATCCTGCAGTTATTATAGGGAAGCATCAGAAACACCCCCCATGACACAGAGCTGGTCACTCCTTGGAGCCCCAGCCTGGTTTGGGTTGGAAGGGACCTCAAAGCTCCTCCAGCTCCAACCCCTGCCACGGGCAGGGACCCCTTCCACTGGAGCAGCTTGCTCCAAGCCCTGTGTCCAACCTGGCCTTGAGCACTGCCAGCGATGGGGCAGCCACAACCGAGCTCCCAGCCCTGGGGCACAGAGGATGATGCTGGTCCTGCAGCAACGTGGATGCTCTTCCCCGACCCCACTCCCTCATCCAGGGCTGCTGCTCCCATGCTCATCTCCTGCTTGTCCCCAGCAAGCTCTGGCACAGGAGGCAGCTCTGCAGGCTGGGACAGGGGCTCAGAGCCAACACAAGGCACTGAGACTCCTTGTTCTCCATCAGCTCCATCCACCAGTGGCAAACCTGGCTCCCCAGATCAACCCCTACCTGCACAGCACCCACATCTCCAACAAGCATCTCGTGCTGCAGACAAGATGCAGGAGGGCAGTGAGAGCAGCCTTGGCCTTGCAGCTCTAAAAGCAGAGAGCAGCCTGCACGCTGCAAGGATCTGGGCAGCTCTCTCTGCTCCTGGCCTCTCACAGCACATTGACCCTGCTCTATCAGTCAGGCAAGCTTATACCAGAGAGAAATCCATCTCCAGGATGGTAAATATTATCTTTAAGCATTCCGTGACGGGAGCTTTTAAAGCCACTTAAGCAGAGAAGCCAAGCAGCTCTCCAAGATGCTCCCTGCAGATTAGAGTCCTAATCCCAGGCAGGGTGGGAAGCTCCCCGAGCCCAGCTCCAGGCTCAAAGCAGGGCAGAGCGTGCTGAAGGAAATCCACGTCCACACCTCTGCTCTGCAATGGAATGAATGGGATGGGCTGGTAAGGCAGAGCCCAGCAGGGATGTAACCAGCCCCGCTTGAGGCAGGAGCTGAGCCACAAGGGCAGCCATTTCCCCTCCTTCCACAAGGACTTGGGCCCACGTGAAGCTGACTCTCTCCTGGCTGGTTCTGGGTTTGGACCGGGGCTGTCTGTCTTCTGAGAGCTGTTCTGTGGCTCACATTCAGCCGGCAGCATCATTCCTGTTCTCCCAGCACCTGCAGCACGCAAGCTGCAGCAAGCAAGAAAGCTTTAGTGCCTGATGCACCAACCGATGGGACGGAGCCCTTCTCCATCCCACCACCCACAGGCATCCCCGCCTGGCCGGGAAGGACGCAGCAGGAATCGGGATGCTCCTTGCCTTTTGCCGTCACAGAGATGCCCATGGCCGCCTCCCTCAGCGAGTTCCTCTTCTTCCACTTGCCCTCATCCGTGTTGTACATCTCCACTATCTTCACCGGCAGCTGATTCGCTCCGACCCCTCCGATCACCATGATCCTCTTGCCCAAGGTGGCCACGGCCACCCCGGCCCTGGCCGTGGGCATGGGGGGCAGCGATGTCCACTGGTCGGCCTCGGGGGAGTAGACCTCGAAGCAGTCCATGGGGACGCCGTTGTCATCGCAGCCCCCGATGGCAAACACTTGCCCCCCGGCTTCCACCAGCGTGGAGTAGACCCTGCGGCTCGGGAGCGGGGCCAGGGTTTTCCATTGGAAGTCTTTGCTGTTAGCAAGCTCCATGGTGGCTGGGGGGGACACAGAGCATCGGTGCCTGCCCGCGGGACGGGGCTGCCTACGCTGCGAAACAGAGCAGGGAAAAGCAATGGAGAAACATGAGGTGCAAACCGAGTGTGGCAGGAGCATCCCTGCCGGCAGGCTCCGGCCCCTTCCGCCACCCCCCGACACACAGCGGCAGCGGCCGGTACCTTTCATTGCGCCTCCATGAACCTGCAGCTCCGGCTCTGCTTCAGCAGCTTGTGCAGAGACTGGTCCTAGAAACGAAACACAACAAGGATGGGGATAACAAGGAAAAGGCAGGAGGGGCTGGAGCCGGTTTGCTCCCGAGCATCCCCACCCCCAGGCGACATTCCCAGTGAGGGGGCTGCAAGCCTCTGCTCACTTCCCCGCCTGTTCCCCTGCCTGCTGGGGACCTTCCCCTTACACCCTGCCTCTCTGCCCTGGTTACTCCCCCTGACCCCTGTGCCCATCCCGGGGAAGGCAAGAGCCAGCCCTTGCTTCTGCAGCCCAGGCACGGAGCTGGAAGGGACCAGAGCAGCGCGGGGAGGGGAGGCAGAGGCTCCGCTGGGAACCCATGGAGTTCCCTTCACCTCCTCTCTCGGGAGCACGCAGATGAGGTTCATTAGAGCAGCAGGACGGAGAGAGGGCAAACAGAAAGGAACAAAGGCAGCGGCTTGCTCGCTCGCCCAGCACGGAATGGGATGTGGTTTGCACTGAGCATCTCCACCTTCATTGTGTAACTCGGTGCCCTTAAAACCAAGTGGGGTTCGTTCTCCCCTGCCAGAGGCAGCAGCCTCTCCAGCATGGGAATCTTTGACACGGGACTGTAGGACAGAGCCAGTGCTTGCCATCAGAGCCCCAAAGGCAGCAGGCTCCTGTGTGAGCGCAGCCCTGGCTAGGGCAGCATCGCCCCCCCCTTCTATCCATGCAGACCCCTTGCAGTGGGCTCTGCAAGACTCCCTGACCCACAAACAGGCCTTGTGTCCTGTCCCCCCCCCCGGCACCCCCTGCCCTGCACAGCCCTGCAGCTCCCCGAGCCCTGACAGCCGGAGCAGGCACCGCCTGTAGCTTAGCAACAGCCACCTACAGCCGCCTGCCATCACCCGTCACACTTGGGATGATCCCAGCGGGAATCCTGCTGCTGTCACAGACCACAGCACGGAGGAACGGGGCAGGTCCAGCGCAGGGGTGCACACACACACACGGGCTGTTGTACCCCAGACTCACCCTGTGTGTAGCGCACTGGGGTGCCTGTTGTGTTTATCAGGTAAGCAGGGAGACGGAGGCATCCCTGAGCAGGGTGGTTGCTGTTATCTCAGGTACAAATCATCACCCCCCAGACCCATCTCTGCTGTGGGGCTCAGCCTGCAGGGCCCGTCCGAAGGGGACATCGTTTTCCATGGTCATAGTTCCTACATCTCCTCTGCGAGTGTCATGGGAGGAGGGCGATGGAAAAGCATCACTGAAACAGGTCTCAGACCACTGGGCTGGGATCCATCAAACCCATTTCCCATGCGAGTGCGAGCTGGCACCAAACCCGACACGTCTGAGCAGGGCTTTTTATTGTCATTCCCAAATAGTCAGCTGGACACCATCAAGGCGGTGGTTAACAAATGACACCTCCCTGGGCTGCGTCCCCCCAGCAGCAGGCACATGCGCACAGCACAAAGGAACACAAAGCACTGCTAAGGAGGAGGAGAAAGGGGCAGACAAGGGCTCAGGTCACCAGCTGCTGGTCTCCTCTCCCCTCAATCCCTTCTCATCTGATGCGCATCACTGCCGGCAGCTGGATCAGCTCGGGCAGCTTAAGCAGCTCTGGAGCGGGGCTCTCAGGACTCACTGACCTCTGTCAGGTGGGTTTTCATGCATGACCACTGGCACATCCACAGATGAGACGAGCGGAGCTGGCTCCCGCTTCCAGACCCCAGAGAATTCATCTTCCTGCCCTTCCTTCTCCAGCTCTAACGTGCAGCCCTGCGATGAGACCCCCTCAAGCATCAACGCCTGACAGAGGCAGAGCTCGCTGCTGGTGCCAGTGCCTCTGCTGTCACTACAGTTACCCAAAGCTCAAGCAGAACTGTCTCAAATGGCCTGGAAGAGGCTGCTTTCAGCACAGCAGCTCACAGCAAGTGACTCAGAGCACTTGGAGAGGGCCGGAGCGTTTCTGTGGGTCCTTCATGGGAGCAGGCAGAGCCCAGACCTGCCCATTCAGCCCAGCATGGTCCCAGAGAGCAGAACCAGCAGGACCCACCCCCAGCAGCAGCAATGCAAAGCTCTGCCCCAGTCCAGCTGCACATAACTGCACATAACTCGCTATTCTTGGCTTCCACGCTGCTTAAAGACAATGAAATCAGCGTGAAGCCCTCTACCCACACTTGGTCTCCCTCCCCTTCAGCATCACCTGAATCCCAGTGTGAAGCGATGCTGCAGGAGCCAGGAGCTGCCCAAGCACCCCCTTCCCTGCAGCCGTGGTCTCCTTCCAGGCAGAGGGAATCACTTATCCCAAACACACTGGGAGCATTAACAGTTTTCCTTCCTTAAATGGCTACATTAAACTCAAAATGAGTGGTTATCAGAGGAGAGGCCAGCACAGTGCTGAGCCCTCCAGGGCACAGAAACCCTGGCTGTAAGGGCTCAGCACAGCTCAGCACCCACAGCAACCCCAAAAGGTCTTGTGCCAAGTGGCTGTGGAGCATTTATGACCTGCAGGGATTTGTGATTTATAAGAGATGCACTGGGGGGTATTAGATTGCTCTATGGGCTGAACAGGGAGAGCGATCTCAGCACTGGTCACTGCTTTCCCTTTCCTTCTCTCATCCCATAGAGGTTTCGCCATTCCAGGTTTGGAAATCCCTCAGGAGCCAGCACACAACCCAGCTGGAGCAGAAACCTGCCCCCTCCAGCCATCAGCGTGTCCTTTAGGCTCATGCACAACCCTAAAGAATGCACTGCAATGAGCACAGTGAGGAGGGATCCTGTTGACACCTTTCCAGATGGAAGGCAATGCAAAAAGGCCCCAGAAGATGAAAAGCCAGAGAGATTCCCAAATGTTCCATGCTTAATGCTCAGACTGAGGATATCCACCCTGAGACATTACCATACACTGCAGCCACGCTCACACATACACCCTCCATCCAGGGAGGACCTCAAGCCAATTTATCCAACACATGAAACTGTGCATGCTAGAAACAGACCCCTGAATTCTCCCTCAGACCAAGGCAGATCCAACCCAACACAAACTGATGCTGTCCCACTTGCTCTGAAGAGCCTCCATCACTCACAGAACCGCCTCAAACCCTCACTCAGGCAGTGGCCACACCAGGGCCACCCCGAGGATCCAGGAGACCACAGCACTTTGTCCTGGCATCTCATCCCAAGTTCAGCTGGGCCACAAGAGCTCACCCTCAGCTTTGCTCTCTCGAGCAGCCTGAGTCCAGGTTTCCAGCCCTGGGTCAGACCCAGGGCACCCATCACATCCCCCTCAGGCGCTGTGCTCCAGGCACCACTGCTCCCATCCTCTGCCAAGCGTCCCCACGCTCCTCGCTGTCACCAGGAGCGGGTTAAAGCAGACCCAGACGCCAACCTGCTAACGAAACCGCTGCCTTCCGAGGCAGAGCTCTCGTACTCACCTGAACGTGTGAGTACAGGGGCTGCAGGAGCACAGGGGCTGCAGGGCTGAGCTGAGAGCTGGCTGCCACCCAGGCAGCACCGGCAGCCGCAGCGGTTCCCAGTGCTCCCGGCGTCACAGGAGAGGCAGGAACAGGGACAATGTGCTGGAAATAGCACACAAACCCCGAGATGAAATCACAGCTCCCGCTCCTCGGCGCCGGCAGGAACCAGCAGCTTCGCTTCAGCTCTGCCCTGCCTGCCTGCACTCCGTCAAGTAAGGGGCAGGGAGAGATGACACAGCACAAAGGCAGCTGGAAAGAGGCTCGGTGCAGGGGACCTGTGTCTGTCCCGAGGAGCATCCACGGTACAAGGCCAGGAGTAGGGACACAAAGAGATCCCCAGGAGCCAAGGAGGGGTGTGAGGCACAGCCCAGCTCCCCCCTGCCTGCTCCTGGTTCTCTTCCCAGTACAATTCCAGGTCTGAGCAGCACTCCGGTGCTTTCCTGACTTCCAGGCACAGAGTCCAACCCAATCCGGAGAAGGGAAAGAACCATCAATCCCTGTGGCTCAGCTCTTCTGCTCCCAGTGTGGCCCCAGACCACTTAATGCTCATCACTTGCTTCAAGGGGCAGAGACGGAGGTGCTGAGAGGTGCCAGGGATGGGATGCCGCCACGCAGCCTCAACACACCTTGCGTGGGCAGGGACCTTGGTCCTGCCTGGGTGGCACACGCCATATTGGCTAAAATCAGGGATTTCACCCAAACATAAGGGACAAGTGATGAGAAAGGATGGGAAATGGGGATAATGCTCCTTGTGCTGCCTTCACCTTCACTGGAAGCTGGCAGGATACGGTGCACCTCGGATAACACAGCTTCCAGTGTGGGAGCAGCCCCTAAGCCTCCCCATTAATCACTGCGGCTGAAGTGAGCTGCTTTCCCTCCTACAAGCACACAAATGTCACCTTGGCAGTGCAGGATAAACACCAGCACGGTGTGAAGAGGCCCCGAGGGCTCAGGTACCAACCCCTGCTATAAAGAAACGCTCATCTCAGCAAGGACACAGCCAAACAGGACACTGGGGAGGGCAGAGCTTCCAGGAAGCTCCAAGTCCACGTTTCTCCCTGCTCAGCATCCAGAAGAGCCCCCTAAATCCCTCCCCACCAAGCCACAGACACCCTTTCTGCAGGCTTCGCCCATTCCACATCTGCAGCACCACAGCTGGATTGCCAAAAGCCTCCAACTTTTAAGCAGAAAAGGCTTTAAAGAAACCCTCTGAGAGGCAGGGGCTCCTTTTGCTGCTCCCTGCTCACACCCCGGCAGCTGAGGCTTTAAACAGAGCAGGCACGAAACGTTGAGCCCGGCATTTCCGACCTCCCCTCGCATGGAATCGAGTTTCCTTGCCATAGTAACAGCTCCCCGGAACAACAACAACAAAATCCACTGGTTCCTCTGCAAATACCCACTTGGCAAGAAGAGAGGCAGAAGGGAAGAGCAAAAGCACGAATTCATCGTGGCAAGCAAAGGAGAAGCAGCAGCTCACAGGCAGCTCGTTCCACTCCTGTTCCCCAGCATCTCCCTTTGCAGACATAAGGAGGTACAGTTTGAAGGTGAAGAGGCTGTGACCGAGCTGACCCCCCCCCCTTCCAGCTTCACTCCTGCCCCCTCAGCACCAGTCCCTTGGGATCATTTCCATGCCAGATGCAATTCCCAGTGGTTGCTAACGGGAGGAAGGCAGAGAGGCTGTGGAAGGAAATATTCCACAGCAGCTGTGCATCAGGAGGGTGCCAGGAGCTTTAGCGGGCTCCAGGACAGCAAGAAAAGCTGCTTAATCTGTTGGTGCCCATGAGCACAAGGAAGATCCCAGCCCATCCTTCCTCCTGGATGGGCTGAAGAACCAGCAGAACAAGATGCACATCCCAGTTTGTCTCCAGGGAGAGAGCTATAATTCCATCGAGGAAAGATAACTCACCTGCAAGATCAAGGATGCCCCATCCCTGGTCCAGCTCCCAGCAGCATCCTGCATCTCCTCCCCTTGCCCCAGCTGCTGCCTCCGCTCTCCCCACAAGCAGCTTCTCTTTGGCACGGGTCAAATGCAGAAGGTGCTTTTCAAGCCCTGCAGCCTCACTGGTGACGTTCATAAAGCTCCTATTACTCTGTACTTAGGCTGCATCCCTCCGCAGGGAATGGAAAGAGCTTGGGTCAGACCTCAGCTGGGGACAGCTCAAGGCAAACACCATCGCTGCTGAGACAGGGCCTGGCCTGGGAGAAGGGTTGAAAATGTGGGATTTGGGACTATGGGGCTGGGAGGAGAGCCCCCTCCTTAACCCACTTTTAGCACAGTCTCAAAGCTTTGTTTCTGGTTCTTTATTAAAAGCCTGGCCTGACAGTGGGGAAAGCAGCTCCTGCTTTAAAGCATCCCACTCCCTTCCCCATCACCCACTGACCTCCAGCAGAAACTCCCTCCCTCCTGCCAGGAGAGCTTGGGAAGCACAGGGATGTACTCACAGCGCTGGGTCGAGGTGGAGCATGGCTCTGCTTAGAGATGCTCTATCAATGCCCGAATCCTCAGTGCCTGTGGAGCATCCTCCTCCTCCCTTCCCGCACCGGTGGCAGGGATGCGAGCAGCATGGGGAGCAGCTGGGGCTGGGATTGCTGTGTGGGAGGGATGCAAGGGAAGAATGGAATCAGCATCAATCCAGCAGCTCTGATCCTCACCCTCCCGAGATGTAGGACAATGAACGGGGAGCGCGTTTCCCCATCTGCTCTCCTGCTCGGTGCTGCAGCCGGGCTGTGCGTGCCTCTGTGTACCCGCTGCATCACCAGCCCCATAGTTTAAGCCTTTTATGGCTCCCTGTGTTCGCACAGGATGTTCTGTAACAGCAGCTCTCCCTCAGCCCGCCCTCCCTGCCTGCGAGCACACAGCTCCGAGGCAAAGGACGGAGATGGGCAAAGGGAGGGGAGCAAGAACAGCAGGAGCTGCCTCCAAGAGCAGCCCTGGGTCTGTCCCAGCGGTGGCTGGGAGCTGGGGGACCCCACGCTGCACGGATGTAGGACCCTTTGGATCCCCGCTCCCAGCCTAAAAGTCATCCCAGGCTTCCCCTGCCCTGCCCTGCTGTCCCTCGGAGCGCTGCAGAGTAACTTTGCAGAACAAAACACTTCTAAGCCACAGCCAGACGAGACCGATCCTCTCAACGCACCGTCCACCGAGCTCCACAGCACCTCCCCGGAGACGCGCTTGCAGTGGAGCCCAGCAGACATCCCCAGTCCTTCAGGAAGCGCCTGAGCTCTGGGAGTCCTCAACACCCTCGGGGATCCCTGCTCCTTTCAGCGCTGTGCTCAGCTCTTCCCACCGGCCCAGACCCCCCAGCTCGGGGCACGGCTGGTACCCACGCAGCAGCATCGAGTGCTTGAGAGCCCAACAGCCCCTGAACCTGCATCTTCCAGACTCCCATTTCCACGTCCTGGTCCCCTTCCCTGAGCCAGGGACAGGCTCCAGAGGTGCTCAGAGGAGTTTCCAGGTTGAGCCCTGACAAAGAGCCCCTCGGTGCTGACCCCAAGCTCAGCCCTGTACTGATGCAGACTGGGTTTACCCCTCCCCATGGCTCATAGTCGAGATAGGGAACTATTTGAAAGCAGCTCTGGCCGTAAAGGAAGAAAGATGAGGAAATCAACAAGAAGTGGAATCAAATGACTCCCCATAAAGCACATTCTCATCCCCTGGCTGCTATTTAAATCTCTGTTAGCTTTCCAGTGGGAGGATTCAATTTGCATTTAAATAAAAACCTCAAGCAGGGGGGCAATCCAACCCGAAGATGTTCATTACAAAGGCATTCACTTAAGAGCTTCGAAAAGACCCCATCAAGCTGGATTCCAACAGGGGGCTGTGAGCACCGGGGCGTTAGCAGGCACTTGGCATTGGGAAGCTGTTGTTATTTACCAGAGTGGTCACAGACCTGAACAAAGGCTTCCAATGAGCTCCCTGCTTACAACCAGGGTAAAGCACAGGAGGTTCTCAAACCTCCTGGCTGCAGGGGTCGGGTTCCTGGGGAAGGAAACGGGCGGCTGCAGGACAGGGTTGGCAGCTCCTCTCCATCCCCACATCAAACCATGGAGCTCCCGTGATGGGCACCATGGAATGGTTTGGGTTGGAAAGGACCTTACAGCTCATGCAGTTCCAACCCCCTGCCATGGGCAGGGACACCTCACACTGGACCAGCTTCAACACTGCCTGGTACTTGGGTGACCTTTATGGGTAAAGAGGAAGCAGAAGCCTCGATACTCCTCATCCTCACAGTCCTACACATTGGATGTTAATAACTTATTAAATACCCTTTCATTTTCATAAGTGTTTAATTCACCCATTGAAAACCAACCAAGGTACCTCCAAAACCCCTGCATCACTTCTTAGCTCAGCACAGGCAGCTTCACCTTCCCACGAGGAGCAGTCTGCACCACGTCAACACCTGCAGGAGACAGGAGAAATGGAAGATGAGGGCGAAAAGGGCGAGTTTAAATGGGACAACAGCAGTGAGACAGGGACAGCAGCTTGGCCATGGAGCCCCAGCCACTGCCCGAGCAGTGCATGAGTCAGACCTGACAGGCTGGAAAGCAACTGGGAAGGAGGGAGCTTGTGCAGTGCCCTACAGAGACCCAAACAAAGGCAGCGCTGGCTTCGCTCAGCAGATGCTGTTTGAGCAATGGGAACTGCACAGGACCGGAATACCTTGGAAGAGAAGGAAGGTTGAGGGACACGGATTTGTGCTCAAAAGGAAGAACTTTTCCAACCTGCTTGGAAATTACAAAGGTGGCACAAAGAATAACGTAATAGTGCTGGAAACCTGGAGCAGCTTCCTGCAATTCCACATCTGTTTCCATGGGAACAGCAGGAGAGGTGCAGGAATTCCTGCAAATGCCACAAGCCAAATGTGGGGAATAAACATCTTCCAGCAGCAGGGTCAGGGCCAAGGAGCACAGACTGAAACACAGCAAGTTCCATCCGAGTACGGGGAAAAGCTTCTTTAAGGGTGGCAGAGCACTGGAACAGGCTGCCCAGGGATGGGGGGATGCTCTGGAGACATTGAACCTGCTTTAGCAGGGGGTTGGACTGGATGCTCCCCAGACATCCCTTCCAGTCCCAACCGTTCTGTGTGATTCTGGGAATTCATTTCCCTCCTTACCTGCATCCCTTCAGGTTGAGCCAACTCGATCCAATGAGCACTCAGCCAAGTGCATGGGAAAGGCACGTGGAATTGCACTGAGCAGACCAGGAGCTAAGAGAATAGGGAGAAAGGATTAAAAAGCACACAAGCTTTTAAGTAAAAGGCTTTTCCTTTAGAAGAGATCAGGATCAGGTAGATAAAGGGGGAAAAACCCTGCAAGAGGACCAAGACCTGCCCATGCATCTCTGTTCCAAGAGGGGGCCAAGCACACAGCATCCCTGGCACTGCTGGTGATGGAAGAGAGCAATGCAGGGGAACCAGAGCCAGCCCTCGGGCCTCTCCCCTGTCATCCCTCGCAGAGATGCGGCAATCTGACAGTTCATTAAGTAGTTAATTCATTAATTCTCCCTCCTGCAGGGCCCTGAGCTGGTTACAGCACAGACAGAGACCGTAATGCGTGCAGACAGGAGCCAAGAGCTTCGGGAGCTCTGGGGCAGCGTTTAACCCAGGGGGAGAAGTGCACCAGCTGTGTCTGCCCACTTGCCAGGCACAGAGAGACGTCAGCTCAGGACACAGGGGCACTTTGAAGAGACGGTTGCTGGGGAATACGAAAACCCAACCAAAAGGCAAGCCCCCCTCATGCACAGTAACACTCAATCAGCTACAGCGAGCAGAACGGCAGCAGCAGCATGCAAGAGCCTTGGGCTGTGTGGCAGGGAGGGGATGGATGCATCTGGCTTCGCAGGCTTCTAGAGCAGCAAAACACAAGTCCATGGTTATACACAAAGAGCTGTTTGTTCCCAGGAAGAGGGTTCATGCACGACACAGCAGGGCTGGGAACAGCTCAGGGCCATGCAGGGTTACCACAGCACGGAGACAAGGCAGAGGTCTGCAGGTACCCCAGGCTGCATCACTTCAGTGCTCACAGAGGGTCTGTTACCATGGAAGATCGCATCCTCCTCCTGACCCGTCCAGCAGGAGTGAACACATTCCAGTGCAGGGCCCACAGTGCTTTGGGCTCTCCACAGACTGTGTCCAGCCCTGAGGAGGAGCTGATGCAGGAGCAGGGAGCTGGAACGGCGCAGTTTTGTTCTCTGGTCTTCAAAGGAGGCGAGGGTTGATCATTCCTGAGGCAGGCAGGGATAAGAGCCAAGGGCAGCCTGTGGGGAGAAAGGGTTTGAAAGGGGCATTGGGTAAATCACCTCAGCGCAGCTTTGTGGGTTCTCTATGTAAGCAATAATGAGATTGTGCTCAATTAACTCTTGGCCTGTCCAAAACCGTTCCCTTGAACAGCAGACCCCGGGGTTCTTCCCTTTGGGGTGGGGTGTTGGAGCATCCCGTGCTTCACAAGGACCACTTTGAAAGTGAACCGTTTCACAAGTCAGATGCTTTGTTTCAAAGGCTGCCGCAGTGAAACGGGTCCATTCCTCAGCATTTTCACCTTTGTTTTGCTGATCCCCAAAGGTAAGTTCATGGGCAAACATTAATCTGTTCACAACGGCCTTTTGCCCAATTCTCCCTGGATTAAGATCTATTCTTGGCTTCTAGTCCTCTGTGACAAGCCATCAGAACCCCTCCATGTGTCCATCCACAGCAATTCATTTCCAGCTTGGCTGGACTGTGACAGCCTGGCAGGCACCTCTGGCCACCTTCTTTATACATTCCCTTCAGTCCTTATAGATTGGCTGCAAAATCGCTTCTGCACCTGCAAGATCTTAAGCGTGGTTGGATGGAGCTAAAGGCCAGAAGAGCCAAGTGATGAGTAGATCCTGACGCAGCAAAACCATCCCTAGGAAGAACAAGGCGGGTGCAGAAGGAAGAGGATGTCTCACCCATGTCTTGTCTTCTGTAGCTTCCACTCTCCAGCCATCTCCAGCCCAGCTGCTGCCCATCCTGGGCTGTCTCTGGGAACAGAGGGAAGTCGATTCTAAGTGACCTCACTGCTCCAGCACTTCTCCTATTCCCTATTTAGCACCCATTTTGCTGCCATTACTCTCCCACAGCTGTTTCTGCCAAGCACAGATCCCTGCTGACAGGACTCTGTGGAGAAGGCTCCAGTGCATAAAATTAGGGCACGGGAGGCAGCTCCTCAGGGACACCAGGATGGTGCTGGGTGCCCTCCTGCACCCGAGGCACCGGGGTTGGTGCTCAGCTGAGGGAGGTCAGTTTGTCATTAACCCTACCCACACCCGCAAGGGAACTTCGCAAAGCGGGGTAAGGAGCTGGAGGCAAAGAGAAGTGAGACAGCTCAGGCAGCAAGAGGAAAGGCAGTGCAGAACAGCAGCCAGGTCAAGGGGCTCCTCTGCTGGTACCCAAAGCGATCGCTGTTCTGCAGGTATCAGGAAAACCCTGAGTCCCCATCTCCTTTGGGAAGTACTTAAAATCCCCAAGAGATGAGGTTAAAATAAAGGCTGCTTACCTGCAGTCTACTCTGCTAACATGGATGCCTCTGGAACACCAGTTGCTATTGTCAGATCATTGTGCTCTTGTCCATCATTTTCTCATCCTGATGGAAAAAGAAATACCACTTTAAACTCATTCAGTGCATAGGTCAGTGAGTAATGCACAATAAACAGTAGTTTGCCTCTGGATACATCATCTAATCACAGCAGCTCAAACATCTGCACATGAGGAAAACAGTTCTATAATCAACATCCCTGGTACAAGCTCCAAGGCCTCACTCAACACTGGAGTCCCTTTGTGCTGGGTGCCACTAAGAGGCAGGAATCTTGTGCCAAAGAGGCTGATGGCCATACCCTGCAAAGATATAGCATCGTGCAACAAGGCCCATTTCCAGGGCTGAAGACTAAACGCTAGACTTTTCAACAGCTTACATTGCACATCACACAGGTAAGTGCTTGGGCTAAAAGGTCCGCTCGGAATTGCCTGTTTCGAGATGATCCCTGGCTGAATTTCAGATGTTAAGTGGAATTTATCCCACAACTACATCAAAAATTCTCCCAAATCATTCTCTTCAAAAGAGAGCACCACCTCCTTTATGGTCCCCACCTTCAGGTTAGAGCCATGCTGAGAAGGAAGTGGAATGCCTTGAGGGAACCCTGCCAGAATTCCTCTGGAATGAGCAAGCTCCTTTGCTCAGGGTTGACTGGGCAGCACACTGAAGTGCATGTTGATAAACACAGATAAGATGGAAGATTTCTAAGCTCAAGACCAAGAGACCAAGGTCAGTGCTTCCGTACCGCCGTATTAGCAAGTCAAATGAGATGCCATAACTCATGGCCTCCTTTGGATGGGGCAGCAGTCTGAGGGTTGTGCCTTGGAGGGGTTTTGTCCCCAGAGGAGTGCAGGGAGGTGCCTGCAGTAAGTTAATGCCATGGTACCGTTATCCTACAGAAAGCCTTGGGAGTGCCGCGGGCTCTGCTGCCAGCTGGTCCCTCAGCAGCTCATCCCCTGGCAGTGTCCCTGCTACCTGTTAATGTTTCAGGACAGAGCCATTAGCGCAGGCTGTGGGCAGGGAATGAAACCAAAGGCCTCAATGCCACAGGACACAGCCCAGGTCCTCGTTATTCAGACATTTAACCAAGACACTTCCCCTGTGAGGAGTCCACACACACAGGGACAATGCGAAGCTGATTTAAAGGTATGGAACCGACAGCCTCATACAATTCACATTCAGGAAGTGGGGAGTAAAGCAATCCTCTAGTTCGCACTTTATCACTCAGTCATCTGATGTGTCCTCTATTCTTTATCAATCCTTTATCTAATTTTCTATTTAAAACCCTGATGAGAGATGGCCCATCATGAAGTGGCACCGATTTTCATTTGTTAGCTACTATTTCACAGTCATCCTTATGAATGTACTGAAAGCTACTACATCAGCTTAAGAGATGGAGTACAAGTTCTGTTGCCACAAATTAACCTGGCTGCCTTTAATAGTCATTGCTAGAAAGGCAGAATGCAGAGACAGGAACAGTGCTGGAAGCCCCACGAGTTCACTTCACTAGGGATAGCCGGCTGCAAAGACGACAAAATGAATGTGGAACAAGTACAGATACTTCCATTTCCTCCTTGCTATTCTCTTGATTAACCTGAATCAGGCAACAGAAGCTTCATTTGATGCTCAGGCATTTGCAGGTGTGAAGGCAACAAAAGAGAGGAGCCAGATGGACTGAGGACACACCAATGACTTTCACTGTGGCATTAAAGGGCAATGTGTTTTCTGATAGCATAACAAGGAAGCACTTCCTCACTGAAGCAGCCAGAGAAGAGCTCTGAGTGGAACAGCTTCCCACTCCCCTTCCAAAAGAGAGCTCAAGCAACTGGAAGGCAGGTCACAGAAGGATGCTGTAATTAACTGATTAGAGGTAATTGCTGCATTTGTCAGGAGCTCATACAAAGCACATCAGTTGATATCAACTCAATTTCCTTCAGTTAGCTGTAGAGACATCAAATATTCATGCGTTAGCAGATTACTTCACTATCGCCAGAGGCTCCGGCTGCTGTCACTTTGAAGTCTTTTGTTCCAAAGGTTACTCCTGGAGCTCTGAGCGAGGAGAAAGGGAAAAAACATTCCTTAAAACACGAGTGAATTCACCCGAAACTCCTACACCAGGCTGCAGGATGGGATTCGTGGTACGGCTACAGTTTATCAGTGACACAGAGCTCCTCGCGCAGCCACTGGAGCACTCGGTGGCCACAGACGTGCTTTGTCAGGGTGCTGGTTCGCCGTCAACCAAGCAGCATCCAGGCAGGCGCCTACAGAGCAGGGCTGCAGGATCACAGAGGGGCTGCAGACAAAGCCAGCGGTGAGCAGCCACACTGGAGCCTGAAGATCCCACTCGTGTTGGGGATCACCCACCAAACCCCAGCGAACAGCCACGGATCCAGCCCCACAGCTCAACGCAGCCCAAGCAGCAAAGCACCTTTTCCTTTAACTCATTCCCAACCCCTGCACAAAGCAGCTGTGTTTGAACCAGCTCTGCCTTTGTGATGACAGCTGCTGCACGCTCAGATTAGCCCCATGCACAGCTGGTGGCTCAGGGGGGTTCACAACGTGTCCAAACCCTTCAGGAGTCTGAAACTTCTCCCTTTTAAAGCAGCAACAAAACTCACCCCATTCGAGTAATTGCTGAGACAAAGCTGGATCCTCATTACAGGCTCCAGCAGAAACGGGAAGTTTGGCTTCATCTTTGAAGGGAACTTCAAAGGACATCACAAGAAAGAGAAGGTGGGGGCAAAGCAGCTTTTGAGTGGAAGGAACTCCCCAAAAGGCCTTTGGAGATTAAACCCCAACATCCTACTCGAGTACAAACCCCTTTCAGCTCTGATTCTTCAGGTTAGGTGACCCCCACAACGGTCCCCCCACTTCACCCTCTCCATTCTGCCTTTATCTGTTCAGCCACAGTGCTGCTGCAGCAGGGTTTTGCTTGCTTCCCATACAACTCCCTGCTGTAGGCTTCACTTAGTCGATGCTTTCCGTGCTGAAGGTATTGCTCTGCCAGTCTGAGAGCAGCACGCACACAGACGGAGCACAGTGAAGTAATGCTGCCCGCCTGAAAAGGTAGATTGCCCGTGTTTGTTTGCCATAGCGAGAAGGGAAAAGCCACGTCAAGCCCACAGATCAAGGAGCAGCATTGTCAGGGCTCCGGGAACACAATGGTGGGTTCCAGCGATGCTCCTGCAGCACATTTCATGCATATGACCCAGACCAAATGAATCATTGCTAGCACAGAAACCCCGTGCACGGCCGCACGCAGCAGCTGCTCCTCCATGCCTTGGTCTCTGGTGACCTGATTTTGATTATCACACTTGCCAGCCCCATGAGGGGGAAGAAATCAACACCAGAGATCAGAGCTGTTTGTTCTAAAGGGCAAAACTGCCTCGAGCTGCTCCCCCTTTCTCCTCTCAACAGGACGGAGGCTTCAGAGCTGCTCTTTAATGTCTCTCTGGGTTGGTTGCTGGAGCAATGCTCTTCCCTCTCTGCACTAAAGCAATGGGGGAAGGATAAAATGAGGTGACCTCAGCGACATTCCCGTGGCCTTTCTATTCCTGTGTGGCAAGTGACAGGTACCCGTCTCACAGCCCACAGAACCCATTGCTATAGATAAACATCTATAGCGATAGACAAACATCTACAGGTGAAAGGGGGTTTGGAAAGAGGAGTCCATGCTCACTGAGAGTAAAGGAACAAAGATCACATAAGAGAACCTTTGACTTCCCCCCTGGTGTTCTCTAACACAATAGTTGAACCTTACCCAGTGTTGGGTGTTAGCAGCTACTCTGATGTAACTTCAGTGGTGAAGTCAACTGGAAAGGAATTTCACTTTGATGTAGAAAAACCCTTCTGGAAGAGAAAAAGTTGGAAGTGTCCCAGGAGCTGAAATAGAAAAATGAGATCTATTATTTAAAGAAGTTTATCCAAGAAAAACCCAATTCTCACCTTTTATGGGAGCAGAATTAGAAAGGCAGCAGCAAGCATTGCTGGGACAAGCCCAAGTTGATGCATCATCAGAGAGAAGTGACTAATGGGGCTTTGCCAGAGCCTGCCAGGGAAGAGAACAGCACCTTGGAGGGCTTCTTTTAAATCATAATAATGCTAATGATGATAATAATGGTTCAGCTATTTAATAGCAGCAGACCGAGATTAGAGAAGATGCTCAGGTTCCAGGTGTTATCCTTCCAAGGGTTCCAGTCACTTGCATTAAGCCACCCCATCCCTCCCCACAGCACAATTAAAAGCCAACCCAATTGCACACCACATAGCAAATACGTGGGAAGTATTTATCCAGGCTTCCAGAGGGAGGTTTGGACACATCCTGCTGTCACCTTACAACTGGCTTTGGTACTGCCCATGCCATGGAGCCCAGTGCTCAGGATCTGTGCTTCCAGACAGGAGGTTGTTTTTTCCCAGCCTTAATTAGAGTTGGAGCAGTGAAAGCAGGGCAGGGATTCAATTCCTCTTTCTTTTAGCCTATTTTCAAACACAAAGGCAATCTTTGTGGCAGCAGAAGCTCAAGGCATCATTCCTACGTGCTGTTAAGCAATGAGGTTCAAAAGAGAAGCTAGTCAAGACAAAAGGCATTTAATGGAAACAGATCAGGACAGCAGGAGCTCAGGTGTACACAGCCCATCAGCTGCTGAACAAGTTAAAGCAGCTGGAGTTGAGCACAGCTTTCTCCATCATGCAGGTTAGACTTGGCCTCATCCTTCCTTCCAAAATAGCTTTAAGTGCACGCCTGAGTCAAAGCTAGAGCTGCTTCTGCTGCTGTAAAGGCAGGAGAAGAGCTCTGTGTGGAGCACTGTGTGTTGTGCTTCATTCCAAGTAATAGCTTAGCAAGAAGAAAGGCACCACTTACTTCCCACAGCACCACAGGAGATGAGCGTCAGCACAAGCTCCAGCTCCTGGTGGCTCCATGAGGTTCATCCTCCCCAGCCCTGTTGCCAAAGTTCCCTCTGAGCCTGCACAAGTGCCTGAAGACAAGAACATTCCTAAAGCATTACTTACATCACTGGGATCCCGGCTGATGCCATCGCTCCCACCACACGGCTTGCCAGCATCCCCAGGACCAAACACCACTCCATTCCCCAGCGCTTTGAGGTCACAGCTGTCTATGATCAGCGCATTGAGGGTTGCTGGTGCAGCGAGGCACGGGGGGAACCCAAATCCTGCGATTTGGCACTTCCAAACCTTCCAGAACCATGGAATGGTTTGTGCTGGAAGGGACCTTAAAGCTGATCCAGTTCCAACCCGTGCCACGGGCAGGGACACCTCCCGTTAGGTGAGGAGCTGCTTCGTTTATGTGGGGTGAAGCACGACCGTGCCCCAGGTCCACAAGCCCCTTCGTTTGACTGCAGCACCCCGGGGGACCACTGAGGCATCGCATGTCACCCACAGCAAGAATTAACAGCCGAGGAGAGCCCACCCCATCCCCGCAGCTCCCCGCGGCCAGCCCCGGCTCTCTGTACCGGCACGCCGCGAAAAAGGGAACCCCGAAGGGAGCGGTGACCCCGACGTGATTCGAACACGCAGCCTTCTGATCTGGAGTCAGACGCGCTACCGTTGCGCCACGAGGTCTCGGCAGCCGCAGCTTCCGTGTGCCCACAAGAGCCGGCGGAGCGCTCCGCGCATGCGCGCACGGACGGGGCTGCTCGGTGCCCGGTCCCGGTTCCGGTCTGGCGGAGCGGACCGGGCCCCGCTTTGAACCCGCCCCCTGGGGCAGCCACGCCCCCCGGGCAGCCACGCCCCCGTGGGCTGTACCACAGCGCTGGGAGGGGCTCACCCGCACCCCCCCGCCCCGGGGGTGGGACCTTCCCCGTCCGCCCCCCCCGCCCGCTCTGCTCTGCCCGGATTTAAAGGGCCAGGCCCCGGGAGCGGCAGCCGCGTTCCGTGCGCTGAGCTGGGGCCAGGGGCCGGTGGGAAGGGCTCAGGTGCTTTGTGCCGCCTGTGCCGGTGCGGCTCTGTTGATGTGCGCACAATTCCGGCTGCCTCCGTGGGCGCCTCCTTTGTTTGTAGCCGCGGGACCTGGCACCGCTCCCGTACCCCTCACTGGGCTGTGCTGCAGCTCCTGCTCGGCACCCGCTCTGGGGTGACCCTGCAGCAGGGCTCGGTGGGAACACACAGGCTTGGGAAGTGATGGGACCTGCCCGTCTCCGGCCGCAGCATCCCCAGTCCCGCCTCCCTCCCATCCTGCTCCCACCCCGGCTCAGGACCGCAAGCAGCACACAAGAAACCAAACCCATGTCTCTGAGGGGCATCATCGAGCCGGTTTATTGCAACAGCTCCATAGCTGCTTCCCTGCGTGCTCGGACAGGGAACGACCGTGCTTGGTCCGAGTGCAGATGCACAGATGCACAAGTGACCCCCTACAGCCCGCTGCTGCCAGCAACCAGCAACCAGCAGCAGACAGATCAATAGGCGAGTCTCTGGGTGCAAACCGCAGCCGTGATTGGCATCTATAATTTATAGGACAACCTTGTAAACGAGGCCCGTGCCGGCAGAAGCCATCGGATCAGGGTGTTTACGGCTCCAGGGTACCCGGCAGGCACCAAAGGACACGGTCTCCATCACCTCTGCTGGATTGCTGGTCCCAGAGGATACAGGGATGCTCCTGCAGCCCCGGCATTGATACCCCCGAGGAGGGCAGCAGAAATGTCCCCATGGGCTTTGGGAAGGGGAACATCCCAGAAGACGATGGCTCGAGAGAGCACTCCAGGGCAATGCTGCTCTGCCCCGGCTCCCCTCCTGCTGCGTTACCCGGGTTGCTCATCAGTGTGTACCCAATAATTCCCCAGGCGAATGAGCTTTTCCACCTTTGGCTGCGAGTTTTGCAGCTACCCCAGAGTAAAGGCATTGCTGTGGGGCTGAGTTATGCCCCTAGTATTGCTCTTACCCTCATTGATCCCGTTGCCAACCATGGGTAATTGGATTAGGGGTTCTCTTGAAGAAGGAAAGGAGGAAGCTCATTATGTACCTAAAAAACCCTGATCTCCAAACGTCTGTAAAATCCATGCTCTAAAAATCCTTATGGATACCTGCTCTGGCATGGGAAATGCTGGAGGAAGCAACGCCCTGTGCGTAGATAGAGGTGCTTATTTACAGCTGCCACATTCAGTGCCTGTGCATGGGAGAGGACGCCCGCCTTGCTGGAGATGCTCATTTACCATAGGAGCCTGACGGGGTCTTCTCTCTGCCCAAAGTAGAGGAAAGTCATTTACTGGCATCATGAAAACAGGCTAAAAATAGCTGGTTTCTATGGCTACTGGGGCTGGGAGACTCCTGAGGAACACGTCTGGGTAGGTCCCTCCGTGATGAAATCCAGACAGAGGGATGAAAGGAAAGGACAATAAAAAAGAGGTTTAATGCTTTGCTCCTCGTTCGGCAGCACCAAGGAGATGCTGCAGGGATGGTTCTGTGCTTCCCCTCTGCTTGGTGCTGCAAGCTTCAGCAGGGCTCAATGAGGGTTTATTATGGGGGGAATTAGGCAGATTTAGTGGATGGAGCAAAGCCCCAGAGCAAACCCTTTGAGTTGAAGCAGGGCTCTGTTGGGTCCTGGCTCCCTCAGCCTGTCCTCGCCTGCTTGTGCTTGTGGTCGATGTGCTTTTGCATGGGGATGGGGCTTTTGCATAGGGATGGGGCTGAGCCACACTTAGGAGCAATCTGAGCGCTGGGGTCCAGTCCAGGCCTGTTCCTGCAGAGCTGATACCTCTGTAGACATCTCATTCTCCCTGGACTTCTGCTGCCATAAAACAAACTCCAGCCTGACCCGGATCTTTACACTTGCAGTAACTCCAGAGCAGTGATTCATCCATCCTTAGGCTCGTGCGTTCCCCATTGGTCACCACGCGTTACAGTGCAAAGCTAAAGCTACATTAGAGCACTACAGTTTGTGTTTCACCACCTTCCTTTTGGCCTACAGATAAATCCCAAGGTCCTCGCCAAGGACAGCCCTGGGGCTGCAAACCCCGAGTCCCGCAGGCTGTGCTGATGTGCAAAACCAGGATCAGAACCAGGTCAGCATCTTTCCTAAACACCATTGAGATGCCCGTGCCCACCTGGAGCTGCCTGAAGCTGCCTGTTCTTTGTCCTCTGAGTACCAACAGCCTGACAAACCTGGTGTTCTGGGGCAGCGGTTGTGTTCTGAGCTGTGGGGAAGCAGATTGAGCCCAGCCATGGGCTGAAGGCATTATGAGGCTGCCTGAGATACTTCTCCATGCAGGGAGTCAGCGCGGGAGCATGGAGCAGCTGGAAGAGCATCCTGCCCGCGGGAGGGAGGAAGGAGGCTTTGTCTTGTTCTCTTCTCTCGGGAACCACCTGGGATGCAGAAATAGCCCTGCCTGTGCAGACACAGCACTCAAACCCAAGCTGATGCTTGCGGGGTGTTTGGTGGAAGCTGCCCATCCTGCTGCAGTGCCTGCATCAGGATAGCCTGGGTTATTCCATAGGATCATAGAAGCACAGACTGGCTTTTGGGTTGAAGGGACCTTCAAGCCAGGGGGCTGTGAATGTGGGGAGAGAGAAGAAGACAGAGTGTTTGCACTGTGACAAGAGCTGTCACATCCCAGCCTTCGGGAGCAGACGCTGCCCTGTTCAAATGCTGCCACTGGAAAGAGGAAAAGCCCATCTGCCCACTGTGGAGCCATGGAAGTGAGCGGAATGGGGCTCGGCTCCAGGCAGGTTTGCTACAGAAAAGGCTGGAGGCTGGTGGGAAACAATGTGGAGATGAAAGGAGCCTCAGCCGTCAATCCAGAGGTCAAGTCATTATGATGGGGGAATCAAAAAGCACCGCAAGCCGTTTATGAACACAATAGAGGTCAACCCAGGAGCAAAGCATTTTGCTCGGAGCCATGGTGGAAAACATATTGCTGCTTGGAGAGCTACATCCATCCGGGAGGTGGGAAAATAACTGCAGCTCCAGTGCTTGAGTGTGCACATGGGATGCATTCCACGCACACGGAACGGGGGTGGGTGAGTGGTGCCTGCCTCAGGTTTACATGACAGGAATATCTGGGACACAGGGAAAACCTGAGCAGGGCAGGACACGGAGAGCGGCTTCCTGGAGTGCCAGGCACTTGCTTCAAAGCACAAACCAACCCCAAACCAGCTTGGTTCTGATGTTCAGCCGCTCCTCACCAGGCAGGGCCAGGCTCTGCAGCAACAGGGCCCCAGGAAGGACAAGGTCTGGCCCCGGCTTTGAAGACCCCTCCATGTCTGTGTGTTGGGACTTGCTGGAGCAAGGGCAGGCTCGGTTGCTCAGGAGGGAGTCTCTGCCCCGCTGGTACTCAGGGTCCCTCCATCACTGCCTGCTCAGGTGCCGAGGGCGCAGCACAAGGATAACGTCCACAGCATCCGCTTCTGCCTCTTGCAAGGTCATTCCCATGCTTTTGGCCCCACAAGAATCTAGGAAGAGGGAGGGGAAGTGAGAGAAGCCGCAGGATAAATGCGTTGGAGCAGATCAACACCCGCAGAGCCATTGCTCAGCCCCGGGCTCCCCTTCCCCTGCCCAGCACCATCCCCGAGCCCCCAGCCCCTGTGACCCCTCCATGCAGTGCAGGCAGAGGGTGATGCTCAGAGGGGAGAGGGGAGAAGAAAGGAGGCAGCAAATCCCACACCCCCCGCAGCATACCAAGGGGAAGGGGATGGGTCCCAAGGCGCAGCTCAGGGGGATGCACGCAGGAGCCTGCTCCTCACACTGCGGTCTCCTGCTCCGCGCTGGGCTCTTCTTTCTTCCTCTTCATCTTGCAGAAGCCATGGAGCCCGCAGAAGCAAGCGAAGGTGAACTGGGGCATCACCCGGAGCAGGAGGAGAGGGTTGGGAGCACCCCTGGGAAACCTGGATGGGGATAGGGAGAGGAGTCAGGGCAGCTCCTGGGTGATGGCAATGTTTGACTTGATCTTCAGGGTCTGTTCCAGCCTGGTTGGTTCTGTGATTCCATGCACAGGGAAGGTGGAGGGTGTGGACCAGCCCCCCACCCATCACAGAGCATCACCCTGCATGGGTGCACATCCCATTATCCAGCCCCACAGCCGCTCACTCCCAATCCCCCACCCGCTGAAGGACAAGGAGGTCAACCCCACTCTCCTCAGCACTGAACAATCGGGACAGACGTGGGGACAGCTTGCAGGGCCTGGTGCATGTTTGAGGGCTGGGGGGGAGGCCCCTGGGAGCCCCTGGCACCAGCGGTTATGGCACAAAGAGGCAGAGCTGAGAGCGCGGTTCACTCCCTTTGTGTGTGCTGGTGCCCCAAAGCACAGCCCACGTCCTGGCCCCACAGCTGCAGTGTGATGGTGCAAGTGAAAGGCTGGGTTTACATAGAAATAAATATCAAACGTGTGCAGAAATGGTTCTGAATGAGCCCTTCATCCTCTCCCGGCTCCGTTCTTAGCTCCTGCACAGTTTGCTGGTGACCGGCTCTGATTTTGGTGCTCGATGCCCAGCGAGTCACATCCGTAGCACCAGGACTGTGCCAGCCCCCAGCCGTGCAGAGGGACCACAGCATTCACAGCTCCCTGCAATGAATGGGAACATCTCATAGCCTCAGTTTACCCCTCTGTGCAATGGGGGTGATGCTGCCTGGGGACCAAGTGGCAGCCTCAGTGTATGAGGCACTGCCACCTCCCGAGGCTCACGGACATTGGCAGTGGTGAGCAGAGGGTGACCTCCATCACCAGCCAGGCACTGCTGGGAGCCCCAAGCCCGCTGCCTGCAGCCCACAGCACAGCAGGGCCAACCAGGAGAACATTAAACATGGGGGAAAGAAGCCAAAGCAAGTGGGGTCTATGGGCCCCCATAGCTCCACACTCTCCCCATGATGAAGGGGGTGATCCCACATCCCTGCCTTTCCTCTTTTCTCCTTTCCAAGGGCCCAGCTGCAGCACAAAGCATCCCATTCAACCCACTCCTGCTGCTGCCCCCCATCCCCAGCCATCTGGGTACCTGTCTATAGCACCCACATTGAACCAGGCTGCTTCGGAGCTCACCCACAGTGACCACAAGCCCTTTCATGTGCCTCCCATCCTGAATGTCTCCTGAGCACACGCAGGTCTCCCTTTGTGCTGCTGCTGCTGCTTTGTGTTACCAGGCTGGGAATGGGACGTTGGAGGGAATGGCTGGGTGTGGGGCAGCGCACTGGGATGGGAGCCACTCACCTGCGAGCCCTGCATCCTCTTGGCTTTGCACAGCTTCAGCTGGGGAAGGGATGACGGGAAGGGAGAAGCATTGAAACCTGTGGGAGCTGGCACCCTGGTCTGGCACAACCAGGTCTGACCCAGCACTGCCAAAACCGGGCTGGGCAAATGCTTTCCTTGCCTATGCAGGGCTCTCACCCAGTACTTGACACCCTTCATATGAACCAGGCAAACACGTCTGCACCAGAACCCCCAGGTCCCCATGGGGACCAGTCCCCCCTATACCCCTGTGGCCATCCCAGCCACTCCCCCTTGCACAAAGCCCCCCGTGAGAGCCTGGGAGGTGGGGCTGGGACCCCGGTTGCCATTAGGAGCTATTGATATATTTAGAGGAGCTTGCAGCACGGAGGCTTTTCAGGCTGCGCCTCTGCCTCCCATTCAGGCAGCAGACAATGATGAATGAGCCCCGGAGAACAGAGGCAGCCGAGCTGAGCCCGGCGCTCCCCTTCTTGAAAAGGTAGAAAAAGGGGCAAGGGCTGATTCACAATAGGAATGAACTGGCTTGGGCAGCGCTGATTTGCAAGGGCTGGGCCTGCTCCACAGCCCGGTGCTGCCCTTTCTATGCAGGGGAGATCAATTTGGCTGAAACTCCAGTGCAAACACGAGGAGCAATAAGGATGTGAAGCTGGAGAATTCCCTTTAGTGAAGTGCATCACCCCGGGCCGTGTTTGTCACTGTCACAGTGATGAACTGGGAGCTGTCTGGAATCAGCACGCTCGCTTTAGCAATGGCACTTCTCCCTCAGCCCTAAGAAATGTCTTTCTGAACCAGCTGGACACAGTCTATTCCTTAAGCCAGCAATTACCCATTTCCCTGGGCAGGCAGGAGGCTGAGACAGGGCAGTGTCAGCAGGGAGGTGCAGGCAGGGATGTGGGCAGGGATACAGGCAAGGATGTAGGCAGAGGTGCAGGCAGGGATGCGGGTAGGGATACAGGCAGTGGATGTAAGTGGGGAAGGGGTGCTTGGCTGCTTCTCTTCCCCTGCCCCAGTGTTTCCATTGCTGAGCAAGGGCATTGAATCCACTTTTAGCTACTTGGTTGGAAGAAAACCCACATGAAGTTTTGCATTTTAAACCCCACATTTCAAAGCTGCCTTTTGCCACGCTGGGGTTTGTTTTCCTGGGAAATGAGCTCATTTGCAATGGAAATTGCTCCCATGGTTTGCAGGGAACCGAATGGGATGAAAGAATTCGTAGTGAAATGTAGAAACGTTCCCAGAAATTCATCTCAATTGCCTTTCGTGATAGCAAGTCAGCATCGTCCACCTCTGCAGCCAGGATGCTCAGGAGGGTCTGGGGATCACCAGCCTGGTTCTCTAAGATCCACTTAGGAGACACTCTTGGAGAAGCCCAGAGCTCATGGGACCTTCTTCCCATAATATAGCATCGAATCACAACCTGGCTTTGGATGCAGCGACCTTAAAGCTCCTCCAGCTCCAACCCCTGCCACGGGCAGGGACCCCTTCCACCAGAGCAGCTTGCTCCAAGCCCTGTGTCCAACCTGGCCTTGAGCACTGCCAGGGATGGGGCAGCCACAGCTTCTCTGGGCACCCTGTGCCAGCGCCTCAGCACCCTCACAGGGAAGAGCTTCTGCCTCAGAGCTCATCTCAGTCTCCCCTCGGGCAGGTTAAAGCCGTCCTGCAGGAGGGTGGGTGCAGCCCTGGGGCTGTGTTTCAGTTTAATGCCAGTTTCGCTGGTGCTCAGCCAAGCTTTCAGAATCTATTTCCTTTATTCCCCCCCCTTTCCCCCCACAAACCTTGGCCATCTCGCTGCTTACAACCAGCCCTACGAGAAAACCGCCTTCAAAGCACTTCCTATAATGAGCAGCGCCGCATTAGAAACCCAACAACGACGGGGCCGGGCTAAAACTAACCTGCAAAGCAGCAGCATCCCTTTAAGGGGAGATAATGAAGGGCGAAGATGCTGCCTGGCGTGTTTGCAGAGCAGCAGCGCTAATTAAAACACGGCTCCTGTAAAGTCTGCTGAGCCCATTGGTTCTTCCCCCCCCCCTTCATTTGCCCGAGGAAGGCAGAGTCGCCAGGGTCCTCATTAGAGAGATTTCACTGGCTGCAGTTAATGGTTGTAATTAATAGGTGCAATAAATTTCCAATGGGCAGCCCGGGTGTTCATTAGCCCTGGGCTGACTCAGCACCGGTGGCCTCCCCGCTTCCTAAAGAACCCATTTCCAAGCAGGAGGGAGGGGGAAGGTGCTCCATGGCACAACCGGCGCAGGCGGCATTCCCTGCCCGGAGCAGAGCTGGATAAAGCATTCCCATCCAATCCCACATTTGTCTCCTTTTTGTCCCGCCGGAGGTTGTCCGAGTTCGGTGCGGGATCAGCGCTCGAGGAACTGAACCCTCTGGTGCAAAGCGGGGGTAAATACCCAGGGATAATGTCATGGATCAAAGCCTGGGGAAGCTGCTCATGCAAAGCGCAGCCCCACACGTGGATTGCTCTGCCTGCTGGGGGTGTGGGGTGCACTGTGGTTTCTTGTGCCCTCCGGGCATCCTGTGCTTTCAGATCTCCCCAGGCTCCCACTGAGCATCATTCCCTCTATAGGGTAACCCGGTGCTGCTAGCGAGGTGCTGGGAGTCCCACTGTGTCCCATTAGGACTTGGTGCTGTCACAGCTTTGATTAAGGCCCCAGCTTTTCAGTTCATTATCATCTGGCTGTAATTAAACTATTAATAATTGGCACTTATCTCCTGGGATCAGCATCCATGGGGCTGGGTGACCCAGCGCTGCTCCTGCTCCTCTTCCAGCGCACAGAGGCAAATCCCCTCCCAATCCCCACGCGGGTTAGCAGCAGGCAGTGATCCCAGTGGGATGAGAGCCCTGCTCTCCCCAGCACTATGTGGGAGCTGTGCACAAGCCTCCTGGTTCTCACATTCCTGTTGCCACGAGGGATGCCCGGGGCGCGGATACGGGATGGGGGCTCTGTGTCGGGGCATGCGGCTGTGCTTTGCCTTCCTGCAAGGCAACGCAGGACAAGCCCGTGCCTCATCCACGGCATGGTGGATCCATCCCCATCTGGGATACGGTGGATGCCTCAGTCATGCAGAGCAGTTATCTGTAATTAGCAGCTTGTCCCACTCCGCTCCTGGGATTTCAGGAAGGCCCAGGGACTGCTGGAGGGGTCCATCTGCTCCAGCACCTTCCTTTGCGGGTGCCTTTGGGTGCAGCTGGCTCTTCCTCAAGCTCACTCCTCTGGACCCGGGATGGGATTTCAATCACTGCATTTCAATGATAGGTGTGTACCCAAGTTCTCGAAGATGCTTTGGGAACGCCAGCCTCATCTCCTGCTTTAGTTAATGCCCTGGATGCTGTGTAAGCACAGCAGCCAAGGGGTTCTGCTTTGCCCAGTAATCGCAGCCGCAGGTAGAGCCTGTGCTAATTGAAAGGTGCTGGAGCTGCTGCTGGGAGGTGGATGCCAGACAAGCCAAGAGCTCACCTGGTGCTGGCAACACCTCCTCTTGGCCATGGACCTTTTCCAGGGGTCCCTGCCAATGCCTTTTGCATGGCTCCCATCAGAACACTTGTCCCATGAAGGGCTTCCAGCCTGCCCTGGGGTCAAACACTGAACACCACAAATCAAACCCTCGTGGGGGGAGCTGGAGCTCAGCAAGGAATGGTGAGAAAGAGGTTGG